TTGAGCTTACAACCCCTCTCTCTTTGTTACCCGAGTACGACTCCACACTCGTTGATCTACAACGAATGATTGACCCGGATTCTTTCCGAACTTAGAATATTTGCCGTTCCTCCTACATGGAAGGGCGCGGTGAAAGGGTGGGTTTGCCATTCGTAGCATGATGAATTGCTGCTCGTTATGCAAAGGCCTGACAGGATGTCTGTGTCTCGTTTGGTCATTATGCTCTCTCATTTGTTCTCTCTTCTAGGCATCTAGTTTATCTTCGTTATTAGCACTGTCTAATTCACAAGGAAGAAGGCCGTGAGCCGCAAACTTCCTGGGACTTTTTCCAGCATCGTTATTAACGATCCACGCCACACCTCTTCTTTCTTTTACTTTTTAACGAAGCAGACACATCCTGTGATCATGAAACGTGCCTTTGAAAGTCTTAAGTTGCCCAATCTGAAAAGGTTTCGAAAAAAAAAACCAGAAAATGAGTGCTCCAGGTCCTGAACGTTTGCATTCCTAAAATTCTCAGAAATCACGAACAAAAGGTTTTTTCAGTCACGTGTTCAAAGAGCTTAGAGAACAGTTCCGAAAATCTGCAAAGGAAAAAACAAACTTCGCACTCTGCGGTGTGCGATGGCGTGACACCGTCCTTATCGCTCTATGACTGCGTCTACCATTAAGTAGTTGCTAAAATAATATTGAGTGACGATCATTTCTCAAACAGTTCCAGTGAATCTGTACAAAAGGTCCAACCCTCTAATAGGAGGTTCCATGAAAAAAAGTAGTTTCTTGTCTCAGCTCACACACTTGTTGATTGATTCTTTTCAATTCATTCCAAGTCGAGATCGTTTCCAACAAAGCTCGAAAAATACTCTTTCCGCTTGCGATTTTTTCAGCTTATTGCTATAGAAGAAATCACTTTCACATAAAAGCCACAAATGCCTCCTTACATCGTTCGCGATGGTGACGCAGTTCTTACTGACATTACACGCCGATTGCGATATTTACGTGATCGAATTCTTGAGAAATTGCCGTGTAGCTACAATTGCTTTTATTAAAGTTGTGGATTATTGTAAAGCTTTCATGACCTCGATGGTTAAGCATGAGGAGCAAAAACGGGGCCACGAATCTACAGTTTTTCCTTTATCAGTGTTCCACAAGAAAAAAAATTTTGCACAGGAGTGTCTCAAAACATTTGAATACTTTGAATATTATTCTGTATCTTCACTATTAACAATTACAGTTATTGGTATAGAAACTTTTTTCCAAAATAGTAAAACTACAGCTCGGGTATAGCAGTGTGTCGTCCTCGAGTTATGTCGGATTTTCTTTGAAGTTACGGAGACTTACTACTTACAAAGGGTTCAAGCGACGCTACCGCAACATACGGGGGCATCCTTTATGACAAGCCTAGGAGGGAGTAGGAACGTCAGGGAAAACAAAAACTGCTTACGTACACTGCAGTATCTCCTTCTTGACGAGGGAAGAAATCACTTTCACATAAAAGCCACAAATGCCTCCTTACATCGTTCGCGATGGTGACGCAGTTCTTACTGACATTACACGCCGATTGCGATATTTACGTGATCGAATTCTTGAGAAATTGCCGTGTAGCTACAATTGCTTTTATTAAAGTTGTGGATTATTGTAAAGCTTTCATGACCTCGATGGTTAAGCATGAGGAGCAAAAACGGGGCCACGAATCTACAGTTTTTCCTTTATCAGTGTTCCACAAGAAAAAAAATTTTGCACAGGAGTGTCTCAAAACATTTGAATACTTTGAATATTATTCTGTATCTTCACTATTAACAATTACAGTTATTGGTATAGAAACTTTTTTCCAAAATAGTAAAACTACAGCTCGGGTATAGCAGTGTGTCGTCCTCGAGTTATGTCGGATTTTCTTTGAAGTTACGGAGACTTACTACTTACAAAGGGTTCAAGCGACGCTACCGCAACATACGGGGGCATCCTTTATGACAAGCCTAGGAGGGAGTAGGAACGTCAGGGAAAACAAAAACTGCTTACGTACACTGCAGTATCTCCTTCTTGACGAGGGCTTGGTCCCCTACTTAAAGCAACAGTTCAGGAACGGTTGCGCGGGAAAAAAACCACCAATAATGAAGTTGTAGACGAAAAACACAGACAGTAAGGATTATGAAAAAGGCGGAAAAAACCGGTGGGGGTCGGCGGCGGGCGTGGCGGCGCGGCGGGCGGGGAGGGTCTTAGACAGGTACTCTCCCTCTGCCGCTCAGCAATGGATAAAGACGCACGTTGGACGAGTTGTCTGAACGTGCCCGCTGTAAACGCGCTCCATTTTTCAATCAATTTTCCCTGTGGTCCCAAAACGAGCACGATTGCCGACGCGTCCAATGACGGCCGGCAAGGGGGCGGGATTGGGGAAATCCCCAAGAACACCCATGTTTGAGGGACTTTCCACCCTGTTTTTGAGTTTCTGAGGTAAGTTCGTTTATTATTTCCACTGCATATGTTCTTCACTAGGGCTCGTGTATCCCTCAGTAGTAGTGGCATTGAAATTTTCGGACCCTCCCTGAACTGTTGCTTTAAACACAAGGAGATGTTCCATGCGGATTTGAGTGGATTGCCACCATAATGCCTCCCTATTGTGATAGCGCCTTTCACGTAGCTCAGTACTTATTAACCCTTTGACGACCGCCGTTATGAATGCGTCACTTCACTTCTTTCTAAATTTTTTCATCAATAATCATTAACTCTCCAACAATTTCACTATTAGTAATTAGCGCATTATTCCGCGAATTCGATGATGTATTTGTGTAGTTTTGAAACATAAAAAATGCCAAAATAAACCCCTAAAAACGTGTCGCCACCGAGCGAAAGTGTGGCCCACCGGCGGGCCACACGGTCGTCAAAGGGTTAAAAATTTCCAAAAAGTGAACCTTTCGCGCAAAAAAAGTAAATGAAGTAAGTGGGAAAGGAGTATGGTATCAAATGTTCTTTACCCAACGCTGCAAGGTGTTTAAAACTGTTCCGACGGTTCCAGTGAGACACTCGAAATTTAAAGGAATCTTCCACGGAAAAAGCTCCGCCCCCATTACCACAGAAAACGATACCTCAAAAGGAATCT